TAGCTTGGAGCTGCTAGCGAGCCCAAGTCCTCAAAAGAGGTAAAAAGGGGCGTGTGTGTATGTGTGTTTGATGAATGTAAAAAGAGCAAAGACGGCGCGACGCACGCCTCGCCCACGAACCACACGACGGGTGTAGAAATTTAGCTTTTCGTAGGAACGTTGTTATTCTGTAGCGGAGTTTGTCTTCGCACTATCCTGCGTACGCTGTTGATTGAAGCATTGACTCAAAGCTTGTGTTGGTCACGGTCAATAGATTGTTTGTCAGCGCGATGGTGCGGCTGATTAGTGTCTACGTACAGCGCAATTGTCTATGCAACTGCAGTGCTTCCTGCGGTGACTATTGTTGCTTCGTTTCCGATGCTGTTTTTTCGTGTTTTATTGTGTGCTTCTCCAGATCTCCAGCAATCTCCATCTATGAAAGGTGGAGAAAATTCTACTATTTTATCTCCAGTCGTGTCGTTGAAAGGAACCTATCTTCGGCTAATCCGGACGTTGTATTTCTCTTGTGTGGCATCCGTCTCTAGTTGCATAGCGAACACGCTTACAATATTTGTGTGACATCACTTGATAGAGCGAATGACGCACGTAATATACCCATCATTTGTATACCACCTACTCCAAAGTACCCCCCCCCCCTAAAATAAAATCTGAAATGGGAACACTGGCCAAAATATGCACCTGTGCCCGGTTTGGCTATTGACATACAAAAGACGAGTCATTGGGGCCCTTTGTTAAACAAACGGCAAATATGACGTCATGACATCCGAAAAACGATTACTTGATACTTTGCATTCTGACGGGGAAGGAATTCATTGGCTGGTTTCCTTCATTTCCCTTCTTCCATCGCTTTGAGGACAACGCAATGGCTACGCTCAAGGATCTCCAAGCAGAATATCAGCATCTTCGAAACGAGTTTAAAGGTCGATATCTCAAAATCACCAAGCTTACTGACGAAAACCAGTGCAAGGACACGAGAATCGGGGAGCTTATGGCCCCGCACCACCCAGAGCAAGAACAACTCGTCAAAACACATCACCGAGAAACGACCAACCCCATCATACCCACAGCGAGAAAATGATGCTGTTCAATAACCTAGAGGCACGACTAAGCCAGCTAGTGAACCTTCACGAAAAACATGCTAGTTAGATACAGAGTCGCGTTACAATAGCACCGGAATCTGCTGACAAACCCATGGTTTGCTATGATACATAAGTCACTACGAGAAAATATAGCCAATGGAATCCGTTTCATTTCTGGCCAAGAAACTAGGTTCCTCGCGAGATTAGTGATACCAACTTTCTCCTGCTTGAGTTCACCGAGACTGGTAGCCCGATAGATCTCCGCCAGAATTTTCAGCGTATAGCAAATCAATGTTTGAATTCGCGAAGCGAAACTTATCTGGCAGACAACCCTGTAAACAATTTTTCTATTTCTCTCAAGCCAATACCATGTAAATGAACTGAAATTAATACCTCGAGTGTAAATGCTAGAGCAGCAAGCGCAAGTTCCCGACACCGTCTTCCGCTGTTGCCAATCGTGTTGTGCCGAGAGCAACACGTTCACGCTTCAAGAGGTCGCGCAAATTGTAAGGGATCTTTTGAATGAAACGAACATGGGCATGGAACTTGCGAAACTGTACCGTAGATGCTTTCTCTGGTGCGAATATTATCTGCAACTTAGTGCTTCACGTTGACCCCATAAACTTTAGCTCGGTCTAGATAGAAGAGCGTGGGCGACATTCAAAAGTAAAAAAAGTACACATACAACGTCTTGCGATTTCCCAAAACAGAAACCACTCACGTCTCCTGTATTCTATTGGTGTGTGTGTGTGTGCCAATGCAAACCGCAAGACGAACAATATACCAGCGGACCAGCTTGTATGATGCTCATTATGCTCATATTACCCTGTAGTGAATGCTGTTTTGTATTCGTTAGCTCACGTGGAGAAGAGGAATATTATGTAGTCAGCGTGGCCACGAGGCAACCATCTAGCTGGCTGATGTAACCTTCCACAAACTAACGGGCAATGCATCACCCACACTGTGATATAGGTTAGCGTGCGGACATGAACCAAACTGTACAGATAATGACGCCGGACCACGTATCCCAAAAATGCTAGTCTTGCCGCATGTGTACGCTAGCGAAACCGGTTATGCTCATATAGCAAAATCCTTCGAATCAACTTGCGCAGAACCTTAGCCCAATCAAGTTATCCCTAGATCCTGTTGTTGTTAAACTATAGCACGAGATTATGCTCAAGGCGTCCATCGTAGTTCCGTAATATAGAATTGCCATTTGCCGTCGTACTGCCAAAGCCTAATCGACGATACATTACCACTAATGTTCCCCGACCTTTTAGGCTGAAGTACTGTTTCTTGTGAACGTCGTCTTACCTGGTATACCGTAGACGAAGCTGCACCACAATGGCCACAACCAGTTCACGTGCAACCTCATCTCACCGGGAATCGGCCGCGTTGCTCGAGAGCAGCAATCCATTTCCGCGTACCAGGTAGCGAGGCACCCGCTTGCAGTACGTGCATGAAAGACCCGATCCGTATCGAAAAAGACATGTCTTGTTCCCACCAAGTTGAATCCTTGTCGCAAAAACCTATAGAATAAACAAACACTATTTGCGCCTTTGATTGGGATAGCACCAAAGGCGCCAGCAGGTCGCCTGCTTATGTAACTCGGAGAAATCGCGATATCGGAAATATCGTAAACCCATCGCGTTCTCCGAACTTGAGTGTCTGTGCAAAGCAGGGGTTAAGATGTCATCTAAGTTGCTCGTAGCTTTTGAGGTGACAGTGATAGAAAACAGTGACCATGACATGTACAATTCGGCTTCTTTGTTTAATGGGAGGCTGTCGACTGCTCAAGGATGATTGGCGGCACATCTGAGAGAAGCGCGACTTGAATGCAAATCGCCGCGGTGACTGGCGTTAGGGATCTGGTGCGCAGACCGCAGGTAAGGTATTGCTCTCGAAACTGCTGCGGAGTGCGTTCGGTTGGTGAATTCCAAACGGGACAAGCATTACCTCAATTGGGCCAAAGCGTCGATGGTTCTTTGCGCTTTAGATTTTGGGTCCTCGTGGACAATGAGACTTGAAGCGGCTTAATTGTGACTTTCAGAATATTGTGGCTGAGTTCCTGACGACTTCCAGAAAGGTTACAATGAGACACCTCAGTCAATGTAACAGAGCTGTGGTGTAGAGAATTGCCTGTCGGCCGCGCAACAAGTCATGAACCATTGCCAGGGTATTCCAAGGAATCACAGTGGTATTCGGAACCCATTGGCACTCACGGCGACGGTTCGTTTGACGATGTGGCACCGCGGCAGTGTGGACCACACGAAGCGGGAGTATCGCCTGTCCGTAAGCATCCGAATGGGACGCGTCGTCGGATCCGGACTGAATTTACTTGATATTTGTATGAAGGCATGGACTCACTTGGTATTTGTACGATTAGAAAAGAGTAAGGGTCAACTGGCCCAAACGAATATAGAGCAGAATTTCCCCTGAAGCACACCAGCGTTTCAAGTCCCGTGGTATGTACCTTATCGTTAGTTGCTGTACAGGGTATGCCTGCCAGCTAACAGCGACCTTCCTAGAGTTAGCGTTCGTTTCTTGGCCAAAAGAGGAGTAGATTTCATATTCAGTGATTCATTACATCACAGAACCCATCTCAATGCACACCAGTATTAGTCATGCACCGTTAATAGTAATGGACCCTTATTAATCATGCATTTTTTTTTAAATCTTTGAGATAGAACACCACTGTTAGTTTAGGGTAAGTCTAGTTAGTGACCTTTTCAAGAAGCAGGTGCGCGCTCTGTCGCTGAACTACGAGATTCAGCTCATGAACCAGAAACAGCAATGCGCCGTTACAAGACCGACTGATATTTCTAAAACAACACTTCATGTGGCGATGGCAAGGCTTGCATCACTACGTCAGCTCCTCCATCCCGTAATATGGCTGAGGCACGCTCAACAGCAAGCACGTGTTCGTGCAACATCAACTTGAGGTTCAACAGGTATTCTACCTGGACTGCCATGGAGGCAGGAGAGAGTGTCAGCAAAGTAAGCAGTCTAAGTTACTTTGCA